ATATGACATGTTACGCAATAGCAATACAATCTAACATTTATTGCAACAACAATTTGTAATGAAATCTTGGGCTGCATTTTGAAATAAAGTGTGTCGTAAAACTAAATTTGCCGCTGTTTTCCAGCAGCATTAAATTTTCAATCAAGACGGAACATTCCAAGCGCACAGGCGTACAGATTGCGCCACATTAGCCTGTTACGAAAGACCGATGAAGGCAATTACAGAATTAAAGTAAGAAATGCGAAAAGTCGCAGGAAGATCAACTGACGAACAAAAACACGTGTTAACTGTAGAACAGCGCGCGATCGACTAAACTGAAAAGAGAATTGCTATCAGGCATAAACAAAGCAGATAGCAAAAAACGCTCTCAGTGAAAATACATTTATAAGTTAAAATTTACGACTTGTTTCGACTTTGTAGCAAGCAAATATAAGTGCCGATTCTGAACCGGATGCCATAAAAGTGTCATATTATAGTTAATGATAAACGCTATTTGCGACACATGACAACACGTCCATAGTAGTAAATGGCTACCTAATAAACTTGTTGATGAGATGTAAAATGTTATTTTGAATTGACTATTTACAGTGCTGTACTTCAATGCTGCACTTAACAAAGCAAAGAGTAAATGCAAACTAACAATTTGCACTTGATAATCAAATTTATCAGGAAGTCATGCATTCATAGGAACACTGCTTTCATGTGCATTAAATGACATTTAACACTAACTGCAACATGGCGGTATTGAATCAAAACATAACACACATTAATTCGACAATACAAATTTGTGCAATATATCTACAGACTAAAACAAGTTTAAAATTATTGTAGCATTTTGTGCACAGAATCAAAATCAGCCAAATTCTACTCATTTTAGTCCAAATTAAATTTATAACTAAAGTTTTACGTTGCTTATCTCAGTCAAACTAAAGAATAACTAAAGTATAAGATATAGAATAAAATATAAATATAAACTAGAGATTTCGTCGGGTGCTTTTTTTATACAATTCAATTTTATACCCGGCGTGGAATTGAATATAACTATAGTAAAAACAATGCAATGCAACTTATATCGCAAGGCAATACAATATGACATGTTACGCAATAGCAATACAATCTAACATATATTGCAACAACAATTTGTAATGAAATCTTCGGCTGCATTTTGAAATAAAGTGCGTGGTAAATCTAAATTTGGCGCTATTTTCCAGCAGCATTAAATTTTCAATCAAGTTTCAATATTATATAAACAAATATTCTTAAAAGCGCAGGTAACAATTTTTCAGTTCTTGTTCAGTCTCGTCGAGTCTTATCCTGCACAATTGGTTGGATTTTGGGGCTGGTTTTACATCTCTGACAAATCAAGTCAAGAAGTACTTGGTCTTTCTTTTTTCCCAAGCTTCAGGGGCAGCGTTCGGTAGGTTCATCCTCGGTGCTGCTTTTCATGAACGACGCCGCGTTAAACCTAAAATATACACATTATTATTATGAAACGTATGCATATTTTTAGTCTTTCGTGATATGAAATGCCCCAAAGTATATGAAAAATCATATCAAAAATAAAATATTACATAAGATTACTTACATTTTGGGAAAAATCAGGCAGTGTCCTGAGAACACGTTGTAAAGAAACCTAAAGATGCTTTCTTTTACGGTTTGTTATATTTTCGAGAAAACTCTCTCCAATAAAGGCGACAAATCATTTTGTCCGGCACCATAATCTGCGTAAAAAAATAGAAAAACATTAAATGCTACCACTTACAATTTGAAACAAGTCCGAAAATCCTAGTGCGTTCTGAGGAAACCAAAAGATGCTTATTGTTATGAACTGCTACTGATTTTCAATAAAACTCCATAGGATAACAACCGCGGTAGGCCCGCGCAGATTAATAGGCCGTTTCCACATCCACCTGAGGTGAAAACAAAACTACGTTAGCATAACAACGAACAAGGAGTAATTCAAACAATTTACATCCAATTTACTCACCTTGGTACTGCTTCTCACGGCAAAGTAGACTAGAATCCGAAAATGAATTTAACAGCTATGAGAAAAGAGAATTAAATACATTACTAAAACAATTTTTCTATACACAACTATACAAGAAAAATTGTGAGAGAAGAGATAAATCTTTATTTTATGTTAAATTATGCAGACACACATAAAAGTATCACACACGTGTTTAGCGGGTTGTTTATAGTAGTATTTTTATGTACAACTTCTAAAGGCTCTTGCGCAGAACACAAAACATTTTGTAAAGGTTACTTCACCCTTTACTTATATGTGTGGCCCAGGACAGTAAATATTCCTTATTTCTATTTCCTGCTACAGTGATAGAATTATAACACTTCACATTGTAAAAAGGTGGAAATAAATAATTATATAAGTTTATTATATTAACTTAATAAAAACAATAGTAAAATTTTATATATTTTATGTTATATATTATACTTTATGTATAATTGTGACAACATACCGAGCTAAGCTAACACAAGCGTGGATTGTAAGCGTACTTTACACTTTTATAAAACACATTTAAATGTCAATAAACTTATATTTATTTCTGGCTTTTCTGCTTGATACAGTGTTATAATTGTAGCTTTCAACGCCATATAAAATTAGCCTAATAATTATATAAGTTATTACATTAACTTAACAAAAAATAAATAAAATTTTAAATATTTATGTTTTATGTATTTTATTTTATATTTAGCATTCATGGTTGGTATAATTGTGACAATCTGCCGAGGCTAAGTTAACACACCCGTAGTTTGTAAGCGTACTTTACACTTAATATAACACGTTTACATGTCAATAAACATATATTTCTTTTCTTTTCTGTGTTACAGTGTTATAATTGTAACTCAACTATATAAAAATTAACCTAATAATTATATAAGTTACATTATTACATTGATTTAACAAAAACAAACATAAAAATTTTAAATATTTATGTTTTTATGTATTATATTGCGGCAACGTCGCATCGTATAAAATGCCTATCGCTTTATCTAAATTTGAAAATATCATTAAAATCGCGCAAACGGTTCTCGAGATATTAAAAGCCATGCAAATTTCCACCGAGTGTTTAGAAAATTCACACGCAAATAGTAAAAGTTTAAGAGCGATTTTTGGCAGCATTTCTAGCGTGATTTTTGGGGCGGCAACGTCGTATCTTTATAAAAATGCCTAATATCAGTTTGATCTAAATTTGAAAATATCACAAAATCCTGGTTCCCGAGATACAAGCCAAATTTCCACTGAGTGTTTTGAAAATTCACTACCAAACGTAAAAGTTTAAGAGTGTTTTAAGGCATTCCTAGCGTGATTTCTGGCGCAGCGCCCGCATCTTATAAAATGCCTAACGCTTTATCCAAATTTGGAAATATCATTGGCACCGCGCGCAAAACGGTTCCCGAGATAGCCGTACTTCCACCGTGTGTTTTGAAAAACTCACGCAAATAGTAAAAGGTTAAGAGCGATTTAAGGTATTTAGCGTGATTTTTGGGGGCGCCAACGTCGTATCTTATGAAATGCCTATCGCTTTATCTAAATTTGAAAAATATCACTAAAATCGCATGCACGGTTCCCGAGATACAGCCAAATTTCCACCGTGTGTTTAGAAAACCGCAAATAGTAAAAGTTTAAGAGCGATTTTAAGGCATTTCTAGCGTGATTTTGGGGCGCCAACGTCGCATCTTATAAAATGCCTATCGCTCTTATCTTAAATTTGTAAAATACCATTAAAAATCGAGCAAACGGTTTCCGAGATACAGCCAAATTTCCAACACCGAGTAAGTTACAGAAAAATTCACGCAAATAGTAAAGTTTAAGACCGATTTTAAGGCATTCCTAGCGTGATTTCTGGGGCAAAGCAACGTCGCATCTTATAAAATGCCTAACGGGCTTTATCTAAATTTGGAAATATCATTAAACTGCCCAAACGGTTCCCGAGATACAGCCAAATTTCCACCGAGTGTTACAACAAAATTCACCCTAGTCGTAAAAGTTTGAGAGCGATTTAAGGCATTTCTAGCGTATTCTCGAGATACAGACAATACCCCACCGAGTGTTAGGAAAAATTCACAGGAAATCGTAAAAGTTTGAAAGAAATTTTAAGGCATTTCTAGCATGATTTTGGCATACATCGCCCTCGTGTATAAAATGCCTATCGCTTTACCTTAAATTTCAAAAGATCATTAAAATCGCACAAACGGTTCCTGGTGACGGCCAAATATCCACCGTACGAGTTTTGTGAAAAATGCACACAACTAGTAAAAGCTTCTGAGGGCTATTTCTTCGAGGCATTTCTAAAGTGATTGGGGCGACAATATCGCATCGTATAAAATGCCTATTGCTTTATCTAAATTTTAAAGATCATTAAAATCGCATAAACGGTTCCCGAGCAATACGTAACTGAACGAAGTAGCCAACAA